CTTTCAGCTTTTTGCAAATTTATTTATTTTAGAGATAGAGTTTCACTTTATTGCCCTCGGTAGAGCGCTATGCTATCACAGCTCACAGCAACCTCCAGCTCTTTGGCTTAGGCAACTTTCTTGCCTCAGCCTCCCAAGGAATAGCTGGAACTACAGGCACCACCACAATGCCCAGCTATTTTTTTCTTGCAGTTTGGCCGGGGCTGGGTTTGAACCTGCCATCCTTGGTATATGGGGCTAGCACCTTACTTACTGAGCCACAGGTGCTACCCAGCTTTTTGCAAATTTAAATTATACATCAATAAACATCCTTTACATATATCCTTATGTACCATGTTTATATATCTATAATATGGATTCCTAAAAAGTCCCTTTTTTCCAAGATTCATCTCAATACAACTTCCCCTTCTCTATAACATCTTATCTGGTCATTTACCCTTCCTGTGGTTCTTGTTTTTACCCCTTTTAGCCTCTTGTTTGTTTACATTGCCTTTCATGTTCCCATGCTTATTGCCATGTGTTTTATTTTTTGTTTGTTTTTTTTGAGAGACTCTCATTTTGTTACCCACAGTAGAGTGTCGTTGCATCACAGCTTACAGCAACCTCAAACTTTTGAGCTCAAGTGATTCTCTTGCCTCAGCCCCCGAGTAGCTGGGACCGCCTAGCTGTTTTTTTATCTTGCTCTGGCCCAGACTGGTCTCGAACCTGTGAGCTCAGACAGTTCACCCGCCTCAGCTTTCCAAAGTGCTGGGATTACAGATCTCAGCCACTGTGCCCAGCTTGCCATGTGTTTCAAAAATATTTTTCCAGGCTGGGTGCAACAGTTAGGGCGTTGGCTACATGCTCCAGGGCTGGTGGGTTCGAACCCAGCCTGGGCCTGTTTAACAAATAAAAATAAATATTTTTCCACCCTGTGTAGTGGCTTACACTTGTAATTCTTGCACTCTGGAAGGCCGATCACCTGAGCTCAGGAGTTGGAGACGAACCTGAGCAAGAGTGAGACTCACTCTCTCCTAAAAATAGGAAAAACTAGCCAGGCATAGTGGCAGGCACTTGTAGTCCCAGCTACTTAAGAGGCTGAGGCAAGAGTATCTCTTCAGCCTAAGAATTTGAGGTTACTATGAGCTATGATGATGCCACTGCACTCTACCCAGTTCAACAGAGTGAGACTCTGCCTCAAAAGAAATAAAAGAAGAATATAATTTTTTCCTCTGTGCCTGTCCTGTCCTGCCAAATAAATTATAACAATAGAAGCTACTTAAGGGAAAGAACGGTGTGTTGTACAGTGTATAAGGCACTCAGTAAATAATGATGGGGGGGGGTTGGGGGTTGATACAAAAAAAGGCACCTTAATGGTTACATTTGGTGGAGACAGGTGCTGAGCAAAGATATGTACATTTATGCATTGTTCTCTCATCTTGAAGAATGTTTGAAAGTAAGAAAGAATAACTCTCCAACTTAATTTTTCTCATTTTAGGCAAGTACATCGCTTCAACACAGAGACCTGACGGGACCTGGCGCAAGCAGCGGAGGGTGAAAGAAGGCTATGTGCCACAGGAAGAGGTCCCAGTGTGCGTGGTTAGGCTTGAGGAGGAATATTTAATGTGTTTACTACAAAAGGATAGAATATTCTTTGCCCACAAGTTCAGGGAAGGCTCTCCTGAGCCCCACAGGAGTGGAAGGAGGAGAGCTATCTCAGAAAGGAGAGGAAGGGGCTGGGATTCAGGGACGAGTGAAGGTTACAGGTGACTAGTCCCTTTCCTAGGACCTCTGTTTATCAGAACCTCCAAATAGCATTCAGAAATTCAGAGCTTGGTGTTTTAAGGACTCTCCTGCAGAGCAGAGGAATGTTGGGGAGGGAACATAGAGAGGAAGGAAACAGGAACGTAGTAAGAGTGAGCCAATTGGAAGGGTAAGAAAAGGGATTAAAATGTAGGCGATTCTTTGCAACTATTGACATCTTTTGTTTCCCGCAGGTATGAAAACAAGTATGTGAAGTTTTTCAAGAGTAAACCAGAACTACCCCCAGGGCTGAGCCCTGAGGCTACTGCTCCTGTCACCCCATCCAAGCCTGAAGGTGGTGAACCAGGCCTTTCTAAGACAGCCAAACGCAACCTGAAGCGGAAGGAGAAGAGGCGGCAGCAGCAAGAGAAAGGAGAGGCAGAGGCCTTGAGCCGGACTCTTGAGAAGGTGTCCCTGGGAGAGACAGCTCAGTTCCCCAGTGCTCCACAGGGCTCCCGGGCAGCCCCCACAGCTGCCTCTGACCAGCCTGACTCAGCTGCCACCAGCGAGAAAGCCAAGAAGATAAAGAACCTAAAGAAGAAGCTTCGGCAAGTAGAAGAGCTGCAGCAACGGATCCAGGCTGGGGAAGTCAGCCAGCCCAGCAAAGAGCAGCTGGAGAAGCTAGCGAGGAGGAGGGCGCTGGAAGAGGAGCTAGAGGACTTGGAGCTAGGCCTTTGAGGCCTTTGGGAAATAGGGAATGAACTGCAGAACAAACCATGGGGGTTCTCTGGAGTTGGGGGTAATGTGGGCACTGGCAGCCAGGAGGGGTAGCCTCCATACTGGCTCACTTCCAGCTCTTGCAGCCCAACTCTGCCCTCCGGAGCCTCACCTCTCCCTCCTTCCTTCCCTTTTCTCCCTAACTTCTACTTTTTGGACTTTCCCTCTTCCGTTCCCAGTGTTCACAATCTCAGTGACTACCCCAGGTACCTTTGGTGCTGATTGGGGTGTCTTGTTTAAAAGAAAATCGGGTGGGTGGGAATCTCTTGGAGAACTGAGGTTGAGGGTAAGGGAGTATGCCCAAGTCTGGGAGTCTTGGTTCCTGTCTACAGTGTTTATGGGGTTATTTCCCTCTCCGTCCCTCGCCTTTTTTTTTTTTTTTTTTTTTAAAGAGCGAGAATAAATTCAAGTAGACAGTTTCTGGAATTGCCTCTTTCTTTTCAGCTCCTAGCAGGTGTTTTGTCCCCTAAGTTTGGCACCAGAAGATGAATGTTGGGAGTAGAGACAAGGGAGGGGGAAGTCAGCTGTAATGAACCATCTCAGGAGTTCAGAGTTTTTTCTTTTTGTTTTGTTTTTTAAGAGAAAGAATGTCACAGCCCACAGCAACCTCCAGCTGCTAGGCTTAGGTGATTCTCTTGCCTCAGCCTCTTGAATAGTTGGGACTACAGATGCCTGCCACAA